TCTTACCACAAGATCTTGACCTTAGGTATCAAGTAACTGGGCGAAGGGCTTTTTTCTGAGTCTTTCCCAATTTTTCCAATACCCTTTTAAAATGATGATGCTACCAAGCACGCAGCTGCTCACTCTTGGTCTCACTGTATGTATTTGGATGTAACATCACTTTCCAATCCATCATTAGTTATACCTAAACATCCCAAATCAGATCAGCAAGTTCCTTAAAACATGTGTAGGAGACACAAGCAGTTCTTGTCCACCTCAACACCCAGATCAGTTTTAGGGTCCTACATTTTGAGCATATAGTCCTACCTCCTGTAAGTGTAGCTTGAATTCTTTGTTCAAAAAACGTGTAGTTCAACCACAACATGTTTTGGACATGCCCTGTTTGCCAAGCAACCCACATTAATCTGTCCTTTTCATTGTTTACATCTTTTCCAACCAGTATAATTTAAAAATATTTTTAAATTTTCTTCTGGGTTATTCAAGAAAACATTAAACAGAAGTACAACCTTATTTAACGCAGCTATTCAGCCAGTGACAATACCACAAAAACTACTTTAAATTCTGCAGTAAACAGTTCATAATCCTTTAATACACAATCTGTTGATATTGTAAAATACATACTTAAAATCAGAACGCAATGAAACAGAAAAGCCTGAAAGATTCTGAAACATATCCACTGTTTCCTTAATCAGCCAAAAAGTTGCAACCTCCTCCCATATTCGACAAGACCTATTCCGTACTTTGTAATCAATAAACAAACTTCCAGCGTTTTAATTGTCTTTTCCCTGTTTCCCTCAATAGTTTTTCTAATATGAGGTCCAAGGCTGATCTCAGGCTGTCTAGACCACATTTGGACAGCACCTCCTCACATCACTTTGAAAACTGGCACTCTAGCATTATGTTAGTCTGTCAGAACTTACTATTTCAAGGGTCATTAAAGATCAGCATCAGAAATTTAGAGATCCACTCTACCTAGCATTAATTACCTGGGTTGTCTGTTTTAAGCGAGTTAAGCTTCAAGGATGTTCTGTTTTACTTTTAATGAATTCTCTTAAGTTTATATGACAAAAGAACACAAACCTTGCCTAAAGTCTGCAACTTTGCTGTCTTTTACCGTGCTACAATGCAGAAACTTTCCACTCTGCCCCAACCACCTTGCTATTTACAGCGATGTACCATGATGTGTACATAGTGACGTGTTAAAAGACGACCAAATCTTTGAGCTGATGGTTGGATATTCAAAACATCCAAAAATTTAACAAACAGAAGAGGTCATTGCAGAACAAAGAAAAGTCCTCGTAAAGATATTACATGGGTGATTTTTGAGTAACAGCAGTCTCTTCTTTACGCTCTGCCACATCAGGACATCCTGTCTTTATCGCAGCACAACTGTGAATCAATGAGCGTGATTTTCTCTGGTTAACGTCTCACTTGTTAGCGCTGACGGACTCTGAATGTCCCTCTGGGGACAGCAGCTCTCCAGTTGAGGGAGAAGCAGATGCAGCTAGGTGACAACCATCATCACGCCAGATGAGAATTCCCAGTGTAACCAAATGTTGGAAGTAGACAATGCCCGTGCATGCGGTTGTTGCCCTTCTTTATTCTGCTCTCAGTGTCAGCTGTATCTCTGCTTCTTAGAAATCTGACCTTGAAGGAAGACGGTCTTCACTTCTACCCGCTCATCTAACTACAGCTTCTGGCACCCATATGGTAGGTAATTCAGGCTGGAAGGCACCTCAGGTCATCTCTCGTCCAATCCCTGCTTGACCATCCTAAGTTCTTCCTTGAACCCAGCTGGAGTTTCAGCTCTTGCTTCAGCTTGTGTGTGCTGTCTCTCATCCTCCCACCAAGCACCACTGTAGACTGACTCCATCTTTGCAATAACCTTCTCGATGTAGTGTAAGGCTGCCATTAGGTCTCTTGAGGCCACTTCTTCAGGCTGAACAAGCTCCTCTCTCTCAGCCTCTCCTCATATAGCAACTGCTCCAGCCCTCTGAGCATCTTGGTGACCCTCCAGAATCCACAGAAGCTCAAGGAGGGATCAGAGACCAAGAAAAACCTTGGACAAATCCCAAATTTAGAAAATAATGACATTAAAAGTTGCTGCTCTCATTGTACTAGCTTGTCTTTGCTTTTCCTGACACATGAATGACCATGAAGGTAAAGAAAGGCTTTAACAGTAAAGCGTGTGTGGTAATATTCACATCTTTCTGGAAGCAGACAGATCTGAGAAGGGCTGAAAGTTGTCAACTCAATGTAGTAGTCAAGATAAACAGCCTACTACTCCTCTCATAAGCAGACAAGAGAAAGGAAATCCCTACAGGAAACTATGAACTCTCTGGGAAAAACTGTATATACTCTCCTTTCTACTGACGATCATGCCAGTAGTATTATATCAATGTTCGGGTTTTTTTTCTCCTCCTTTTGCCCTTTTTATATTAAAGCAGCACCAAATTTTCACATTTCCCATTAATGTGAACATTTCACAACCCATGTATTCACTGATAAAGAAATGAAAAGATTTATCTTGTGACAGTTACCTCCTTCCATGAACAATTCAGTAAATGGTCACCTTCAAGGGCCAGGACCCTATCAGCCCCATTTATCATCTTCTCTGCAATAGTTGCCTTTTGTTGAAGGAAGATTAAAAGTTTTCAAAGTCATAACTGCTTTTCTTTAGTTAAGACAAGCAAATTCCTACAGGAAAAGTGAAGCAGTCTACTTCTGAAACAATGCAAGAAATGCTTCTTAACTTGTTATACAGGTCAAAACAGAGAGATAGTCTTTCAAAGCTCAGTATCACTTCAAAAAAACCAGTAAAAGATGCACATTATTCCCAGGATTTATCTGCAGGACCATTTCAGAGACATAAATATACACTTTGCAACTTTTCCTCTTCTTCAGATCACAAAAAAATGCTGACAAACTAAAGGAGTAACAGCACATCCTTTCCCTGTCATGTTTTTCCCCAAACTGAGCCTTTATTATCATTCTCATTACCTTTATCACCATTTCATTGAATCATAGAATGTATTTCTTAAACTGAATTCTAGTTTCTATCCCCTTACGATATTTTCTACTTCCACAGATTTCCTCAACAATTTCCTGTCCATAATTTCCTCTTACATTCTGTTCCTGCTTTTGATCTTCCTTTTCCATCCATATGCATGGTACCACCCTTTTCAGCAAACAGAGCCAGTTTAAAGCTATTTCCCACTTTCCAGCTCCTTTCATGCCAGGCCTGACATTATTACATCTGTTCTATGCATTTCTCTTTTTTTTTCCCCAATAAAGTTTCTACTAGTCTTTTTTGTAGTCTTTGACTAATCTTCTCTTGTTTTCTCATTACTTCTTCCCAAATTTCATCACCTTCTCTTTTTATGCCTTTTATGCCTCTCTGTAAAGATCCTAAGTTTCAATCTGTTCTTTCTTTTCTGGTTCCCTCCTACTTCTTCAAGTCTCCTCTCCTCATTTCTACCTTCTCCCTCACCATTGGTGTCTTTTCTCTTTTTTTTTTTTTCCCCTCCTCCTTCACCTAAACACTATGACCAGGTAACTGCCTGAAACCTAGCAAGTAATTAAAGTCAACAGACTTTCTCTTTTTATTGTTGCCTTTACTAGAAAGTTCTCCTCAAACAAAGGCAATAGAATCATAGAATCATTTAGGTTGGAAAAGACCTTCAATACCATCAAGTCCAACTGCAAATATATATTAATTCCCCCAACCACTCCTCCCATACTGCTTGTTTAAACTCCCAAATTCCATTTCAGAGATTCATCAGCAACCAAAAGCAAGTGAAGAAATGTCTTTTGAAATGTGCGTTTTGCCACACTTTCACTCTCACCTTGACCTTCTCTCACCTGAGGTCTGTTCCACTGATAAGAACCAAAAGAAAACTGTCAGATGCTTTCAGCCTTCCTTACCTAACATCCCTGTACCCACTCTTTGCAGGTACATCTTAGATCATACACTGGAGATTTAGAACATAAGGGAAAACTGGAATAATACCTTTGGGCTGTCAAAAGTTCCTCGATAACTATTGGACTCTGCAGGTAAAACTGTCATTGAACAGCAAAGATAATTTGAATGAGCTGACTCAGCTGTGACAAGAACCTTGCTTGTGGCATTAGCACTGCAAAGAATGACATCTTCGGTGAGAAGCAAAGCACTCCATTACCCCCCCACCCCCTCACTGGTTTTCCCCTGCCCATAAAATTAAGTAATTTGCTTGGTTCACTCATATTACAACAAGGCTTGATACAACTAGAAAACATTCACTGCCTATCAACTGCTCTACAGTAAGCATCCACATTCCCCTATCACAAAAGATTTGTCACGGCATAATCCCTCAGAGACAAAAAATAAAACCCAAATAAAAAAACCCCAAAAGGTAATACTTCATGTTTACCACAGGGTTTAAGTGCACCCAGGAGCCTGTACCACAGGCGGAGCGGTTATTAAACCCTAAGTTGTCTTTGCAGCGACACCCTGGAGTTTGCGGAAGCAACAAATCCTGACTGATAGCAGCCTGCAGAGTGACTGAGCCAGTTCAGCAACCTGTGCTTTCAGGTGAGAGCAGAGGATGTGATCTAAAACAAGGCTGAAGGCAGAAAGATACAGAAAGCAGATGAAGACCTGTTTTGAAGATGTAGGAACGTGTGACGGAAAGCCAGGACTGAGGAATACGGGATGAAAAATTAGGACAGGAAGCACTGGATTTTAAACAGAGAATCTGGGCTGGAGTACTAAGATTGGCCTGACAGCTGAGAAGCAACATGACTGAAATGAGGAGAGGTGAAAGAAAAGGGTATACAGGGTAAGATACTGCTTTTTGCATCATAAGTCACTGAGAGCTATAAGGACAAATCACTAAATCAAAGCAAAAAATCTGGGCCCTCTGTAGTGTAGATGCAGTATCCTGAGACAGTTAATTCTAGGTTTGGTGACGAGAGCAAGTGAAAAGTTCTAAACCCTAAAATTAGAAAAACCACAGAGCTTGTTAAAAATGCCCATGCGCGTTTTATTAATAAAAACTAACAGTGCCAAGGTTAAACAAGTCAAACAATTATAGTCTCTTTATATTCCATAAAATATTACAGAAAAGTTTATTTGTGTTTCAATAAAAAGACTACTGTCTTAGAATAGGCAGCTGACAGTATTTGTGCAGTTAATTGTTTGTGAATAAATTTAAAAAGACTACCACCTGCCCTGAAATTCCTTTTATAAAAATGAACTATTAAAAATGATTGACAAATTTTGAGTTAAAAAACTTAAAACATTCTCTATATTTAATTTCAACTTTATAATAGATTACAGGAAGATGCTTATGAAACAAATACAAACATTTGTTTCAGTACATGTCTTTATATGATAGACTTATAAGTATGTAAACAACTATATAATAAAAAGTTTCCAAAGTCTGCCTGTAAGAAATCAGGCAAATTTTACCATAAGCAATAAATCATTCCAAACCTTCAAGACATTTTATATAGCTGCACCAACTGGCAGTAAACATTTGCCAAAAACTTTGTAATTCGTATGTCCCAACATACAGTGAAAAGTATATAAACTTGATGGAATCATAATGTTAGATATAATTTAAGGGAAAATAAGTTCACAACAACATTTCTGGAATTTAACATGTAAAAAAGTAGGACGTATCTTTCTTGTTTGGTTCTTTGGACACTGCATGATTAACAAAAAACACTACTACGTTAGCTGACTATCCCTCCAGAAGTGGCATAATCAAAATACACTCCAAATAAATTGCCATTCAGTGTATTCATTTTCCACAGAAGGATAGCATTTTATTTCTCAATGATGTGTCTACATTTTCTTTAGCAAACTTCGCAAGAACATTTGGGGCAAAATCCATTTTCCTTCAAGTAAAAAAAAAAACCAAACAAAAAACAACCAACAAACCAAAACCCCCTAAAACAAGAGTAAATAAAGGCTCTGCATTAACACACTGGTATCAAAAACACACATCCACACCACATTTAAAAATATCCTACACAAAACAATCCTTGTTTGCTTATCAGAGGTGCAATTTCTAAACTCAGAACTGCTTACCAATATTCTCCTTGAGGGATGGGGCAAAGTAATTTGAGACACTTCTCCCTAGAACAATTTATTCCTGAAGCTTGCTGAATTTTAACAAAAAATAGTCTACAAGCAAAGGGCATCAGTCGTCATCATCATTTTCATTAAAATCGTCGTCGTCGTCATCATCATCCCCAACATAAGAAACTGGTGTTTCAACTCTGGAGCCACTGTACTGAGATCCATTGGAACTTGTAGCCAACATCCCATCTCCACCATTGGAAAAGTCACTGAAAAAAAAAAGAGGAGGCCAGTTGGCATTGGTGAATCATTTTTCCCAGTTTACTGGGCTTTTAAATACTATCATACATCTACTCCATTCCTTTAAAGAATCTGCCACTGCTACTTTATAAACTGTCTTTAATATATGTCTAAGTTGTTTCTCAAAAGTAGAAAAAGTTGAAATAATTTTGAAATGGTTCTTACTGTGTTTCTTCCTTTAGGTTTAATATAAAGATTAAATCCTTTCACAGGCACCTTAGAAGTACACTTTCCAGGTTTCTTCCACAGTATATTCAGTGTTCAGGCTACACAGCTATCTAAGCCCTTTAGCGTTTTCATGCAGCACTGGACACTTGCATCACTAGTGAATCACGTCTTTCAGAAGCGCTAATCTTGAATCAAAGACTTGGAAAACTGAGGAATTAACAGCTTCTCGTTAATTCCTTATTATTACATGGCAAACTGTCACTGCTGCATGTGCTGTATTTTTAACTTGAAATCGTTTTCTTCTCATTTTGCTTTTCTAGTTAAAAACAAAACAAGAACCTCTTCAGCATCTCATATTTTTCTCTCTGTCAGGGTATCCCTACACTGAAAATCCACCTCCTGGGCCAGTAAGTAGATTTAGAGAGTATCCACTTTGTTACTTGAATATGTTCTTTTTCCGCCAAAATACACACACGCATTGTAGATACGGTCTGAAATGTCTTGTTCCTAGAGGAATTAACTGTATCCAGAAGTATTTTATTTTAATAGAGCCAGATATTCCTGCCTCCATTATTACTTGCCATTTTGCCAATCTTTTTTATTGTTCACTTTCTCAATAGTTTAATAAACTATTAAACTTGGTCACAAGTTCTTGACTAAATGTTACTCTAAAATTCACAGAAATAGTATCTCCAACTTGAAAGATATTCATCGTTAAAAACCTGCTTTCAAAATACATTTCCTAGTCATTATTAAATCCAGCTAATGCACATAATCAGTCATATGAGCACACTGCTGTTGTATAGAGCTAATTCAACAATCATCAAGCAGAACAAAATTGGGGGGGGGCGGGGGGGGCACACCCTAAAAGCTCACATGGAAAACATAACCAGTAAGACACTTTCAAGAGTTTCTGCTGATTTGCACAGTTATTCAAAAGGAAACTACTAAGACACCTGTCCAGCTGAAGTCAGATGACTTACAACAGGTTCTCCATAAGTATTTGCAGAAGGAGTTCCAAAAACAAAGAAAAAAGAATAATGGAGATTATTCTTGTGTTCCTGTGAACTTTGAAAGTACAAACCCAAAAACCTGTATTCCCTCTTTTTGATAAAAATGGAACTGGATTTCATAACCTGAGTATCCTAGTGAGACAAAGAAACTGGGATGAAGGCACTGGTAGCAGCATCGTCAGTCTTCTGCAGACTTTCTTTAAAGAGCTTGCTAAATAAATTTACAGCCTCTATTTGCCTTGGCAGCAATTTTTGGTACCAAAAAAGCTACACATCTTGTAGTCTCCTATTGCCATGAATATTTATATATGTACTATAATAAAACATCATTTGTCACTCCCCTTTTCCAACCTCCTAAGAAACGGAAGTGGTAGGAGTTCTTGTGTGTCTCACCAAGATAACGAACCATGGTCAGCCTCTGTTCTTCTACTGGCCTCTGGCTAGTAGTGGCCTATTCAATTTTCAAAGTCTTTTTGAGTAACACCACGCTCATTATCACATAAGGAACCTTAGCAAGAACAGGAGATTTTATGTACCGTGTAAGTTCTGCTTCTCTAAAGGTATTTTGGCAGTATTCTCACTCAAGCTCCAGTTCCCTAGCACAGAACAGGCAGAATTCCCCACGCTTTTTTGGGCAGCAGGAAAATGGGCTGGAGCATAAACCACACTTCTTACCATTGCTACCTGCACACATCCCTCAGCTTAACTGCTCTCCTTGCAAGTTATTTCCTTATTTTTCTTGCTTTGCATTCAAGTAAGCCTATCATCTACAAAAAGATGTTTGTTTTCTTGTTTGTTTTTTTTTAAAAAGAAATGCTTTTAAAATGTAATTGCACTAGCCTTTTAAAGCTAGATACTGTATCCTTAGAAGAACCTCCTTCCAACTCTGACAGAAGGCAGGTGGGTGAGAAAAAGCTGCCAGAAGACCATCTTCAGAGAACAAGATAGATTTCCTTGTCTAAAGAAATCCATCAGTACAACGTTTTTGCCTTTAAACACAATGGCTTAAATGTCCTAAAAATTAGGACTGCCTTAAGAATTTCAATAGCACAGCAACTTCCCAAACAATTTACAAGGCAGAGCCTGCCAGTCATTCTGACACAGAACAGTCATTGCTGTGGAAAGAGCCAAATTAATTTAGAATTTGCCCTCTCCTCTCCAGCCTCACCTCAGTACTTGCTAAAATCATGGAACAGACCCTCCTGGTAATTATGATGAAGCATATGAAAGACAGCATTAGGGACAGCCAACATGGCTTCACCAAAGGAAATCTGCCTAATTGAGTGGCCTTCTATGATGGTGTGAATGCATCAATGAACAAGGGAAGAGCTAGAGAAGTAATCTATCTGGGCTTCTGGAAGGCCTTCAATACAGCCCCACACAACATTCTTACCTCTAAACTGGAGGGAAATGAGTTTGACAGATGTACTACTTGACAATAAGAAACTGGCTGAATGGCCACGACCAAAGAGTTACAGTCAACCGCTCAATGTCCAAATGCAAACCAGTAATGAGTGGTGTCCCTCAAGGGTCCATAGTGGGACTAATACTATTTAACACCTTCATTAATGATAAACACTGAGACCGAATGCAGCCTTAGTAAGTTTGTGGATGACGCCAAGCCGAGCTGATACACTTGAGGGACATGATGCCATCCAGAAAGACCTGGACAAGCTTAAGGAGCGGGCCCGTGTGACCCTCATGATGTTCAACAAGGCCAAGTGCAAGGTCCTGCACACGGGTCAGGGCAATCCCTGGTACGAGCACCAACTGGGAGATGAATGGATTGAGACCAGCCCTGTGGGGAAGGACTTGGGAATACTGGATGAAAAACTGGACACGACCCAGCAATGTGTTCTTGCAGCCTAGAAAGCCAATCACACCCTGGGCTGCATCAAGACAAGCGTGGCCAGCAGGTCGAGGGAGGTGACTCTGCCCCTCTACTCTGCTCTCATGAGACCCTATCCAGTGTACTGCATCCAGCTCTGGAGTCCTCAGCACAAGACAGACATTGACTAGGTAGAGCAGGTCCAGAAGAGGGACATGGAAGTGGTCAGACGGCTGGAACACCTCTCTTATGAAGAAAGGCTGAGAAGAGTTGGGGTTGTTCAGCCTGGAGAAGAGAAGGCTCTGGGGAGACCTTATTGTGGCCTTTCAGTATTTAAAGGGAGCTTAGAAGAAATGTGTTTTTCTTCTAAGAAATGTTCTACCAGGGCCTGCAGTGACAGACAAGGGGCAACAGTTTTAAACAGAAAGAGGGTAAGTTTAGATTGTACATACGGAAGAAATTTGTTACACTGAGTGTGGTGAGACACTGGAATAGGTCACTCAGAGAAGCTGTGGCTGCCCCATCACTGCAAGTGCTCAAGGTCAGGTTGGACAGGGCTCTGAACAACCTGATCTAGTGACAAATGCCCCTGCCCATGGGAGGGGGATGGACTAGATGATCCTTGAAAATCCCTTCCCACTGAAACCATTCTCCAATTCTGAAATTGCCCAGATTGGATTAGTTGTGTTACGTGTACGACAGAAATTTTCAGATAAAGCCAAGTTTCTGGACACAACAGAAACAACTAGCAGAAAAGGAACACTTTTTGCAGATAATTCGTTCAGCTAATCAGCTTGGTCAATTCAAACATTTGTTAGCAATGTTAAACATTTCCATATTTCACTCATCTTACAACTTAGCAGAGCTCACAGAAGGACATCTTTTTGATCAATGCAAGAAACTAGCAAGTAGTGACTATGTAAGGAAAAGCATCTTGCATAGAAAAGAAAAATAAGAGTTAAGTTCAGAAATGACGTATGGCCACAAAAATTTACATACAAGTTACGGTTTATCACTCTACCAGCTTCTGATGCTGTTTCAAACCCAAAGACCAAAACTTTTTTTTTTTTCCAATTTAGACACTAATGACCAAGGGAGAATCTTGCCTGTATCATATCTTTAGGGAAGTGTCACAAACTCAAAACTAAACAAAAACTATGTGTTCAAGATTAACACCAGTCTAATCAATTTCTTGTTCACTATACAGGAGAAGATTTCTTTAATGACACTGGTAAAAACTACCACCACTCAAGTAAAAGCGATGTCTGAGAATAAGCTCAAACATGTATCCACACCACATTTAATCAAATCAGAACTTGTTTCATAGAATATTTAATTTCTAATCAAGTTTCCTTGATGATCACAGATTTTAAAAACTAACTGATAATTTCTTCTCACCTGGCTGAAAATCTTGTGCCATTTGATGCAGAACCTGATGAAGATGTGACATATACACTGCTGATTGATCCCTGAGCCATTTCTGTAAAATGAACAATATGTATTTCAAGAATACTTCAAAAACACACTTGTCTAATTCAGTGGAAATGCTTAAAGTCCAGAAAAGGAGTCTTGCAACCAAAATAATGAAAACAAAAATTAGTGTAATTAAAAAACAGTAGCTAGTCTAGCAGTAAAATTTCAAAATACATTAAAAACACATTTCATTTTGAAGTGAGCAAGTCAGATGTCTTCAGCATTCTAATATAATGAAACCAATAAAACAATATAAAAGGAAGCCATCACCATGTTTGCACTTACTACCTTTGCAAGTGAATCAACTTTGCAGGTGAATCAACTATAAATACTGGCATCTTAAAAGAATTACACAATGTAAAGATCTGCTTGTGTGGTATAATGCAGAACATGGTTCTGCGAAGAGCAACAGCCCATTCTCCACAAATCTCTCTGTTATTTGTTCCCTAAGGTACATTAAAATGCATATGTATTTGAGAACTTCTTAGAAATCTTCACTGCAAACCAGTGCAAATATCATGGATATTTTCATATTTTTCCCTCGAGTCCTGTATTAAGGAGGAAAATAAAATAACTGTTTTTGGAGTAACTAACCTGTCACATATGGTTCCAGAGCTTTAGGAACCAAACTCCTTGCAACTTTTAGGTCTTCTGCTGAACAGCTTCCAGATTCTAGCCCACAAGCCATTCCCATTCGTTTTAGTACTTCTATATCATCATGAATTTCAAAAGTATTGTCAAAATTAAATAGATACTCAAACCTGAAAATGAAAAAAAAAAAAATCTCAGTTAGCTTCAATGACTAACAACCTTTCCAGTTTCAGCAACTGCAGCATTTCAAAAGCTTAACACAGTGTTAGCAAGACATCACATTAAGCAATCAAAGTTTTTAAGATTTATGTATTTGATAGCAAGTGACTACAACTGTAATTATACACACTACATAAATCATTATCAGGATGAAAAGATACAATTTTAACTAAACATTTCGCACGTTTGATCTTTTTTTCTTTACTCCCATTCCTCTGTCTACCATGTATTTTTTTTCTTTCCATATTTTTAATCTTTTCTAGTAAGCTAATAGCGCAAGGAGAAACCACCGCTTTTACATTCAGCTTTTATTTAGCAGATGAAAAAAACTAGCTTTTTGAACCAAAAGTAGAGAACAGCAGTTCTGAAAGCAAAATCCACTTCCAGTTTTGCCGGCTGCATTTCATTGTGTTAAAGCCAAAGGAAAGCCCTACTTGGCAAAGTACGATATAAAGCTTCAGCAGAGCTGCCTTACTTTGCTTCTAACATCTCTAAATAGTAAGTCTTAAATAAGCTATTAAATGTGAACACAATTACTCTATTTATTAAAATGCTCTGTAAAACTCTGTTGGTATTCAACATGACTAAGATTTACCTGTCTGAAATGCATGTTCTCGATCTACAAAAGGCACAAGTAAATTTATTTGTATTTCATTTTCAACAAAGCTAGATGAACACTCTAGCATGGACATAAAACTCAGTACCAAAAGCCAGACAGAAAACTTTGTTAACTCACTTGTCATTTGAAATACTGCAGTCAATCACTGTCTTCTTGCTGGTGTTCACAATGATAAATGGCAAATGGATGACAGAATTGGAAGGTGGTGGTCGATTTGCCTGTTGTTCTGCTTGACGGTTTCGCTGAACGAGGTTCTTGAAGGCAATTTGCTAGAAAAAACAACAGTGATATGAAAGTATGAATTAAACCTTTAAGACCCTGTTAAAAAAAATCCCTCAGATAAAGAATTGTTGCAGTAAGTAAATGCAGAAAAGGGCAGAGTGTTCATCGTATTCCTGCATGTTAAGGTGCAAGGAGAGACATAAATGACAGTACTGAAAAATACAACTTAAACTTAACTGTGAAAAAAAAAGCACATTCTAATAACTACATCCGGACAGTTCTTGGACAGATCCTTGACAGAAAGAAGAGATAACAATGACTGGGAAAAGGAGTTTTCATATAGCATCCTAATTCCACTCTGTTTACTATTCCTTGCTAGCTACTGCACTACACAAGAACAGTTGAACGATTAATACTGTATTTTTGCTGAAAGTATATGCTAAAAACAGTTAACATTTGGGATTTGCATGTCTGACATTAGCTTTCTTAATTACTCAGCTAAGATTAGTGACTTTACTCTCACATCTCATTAAAACTGCTTTTCAGAATGGAATGTTCATTATTTTAAAGATTAGCAATTTTAAGAACACAAAACTCAAGTTAACTATTGAAACTCAAGTTATAAATCCTGCAGTAAGTCACCAAACTAAGAAAAAGTATTTTTCTGGTCATGGAATCAAATGAAATAGGAATTAATTAAAAACAAAATCCAAAGCCAACACAGAGGCTGATAAAAATCAGACAGCTGTTGAGACTTCTGTCCAACAGCTGCCTGTACTTACTTTCTGCATACCCTCCCTGAGATTCTCATTCCTATTGCACAGGAGGTAATGCAACTAAGGGACACATTGCAAACCAGCAGCACAGTGACTTACGGGACAGACTAATGTTTCCTCCAGTGTACTAGGGGAAATCTGGGAAGGAGTTCAGCAACTGTTTTCACAGTGGTTTAGCCACTTATACAGAGGGGCAGCAATGTCCCCAGCTAAACCACAGTGCTAAATTAAAATTGTATATGCCTTATCCCGAATTTCACCTCTAGTCTTAAAATTCACCTCTAGTCTTCTTAGAAGTTTCCCATCCTTCACTGGGATAAAACAATAGGAATACAGATATAAGTTACCTTGCCCTATAGACAAGAGTACCTTGACTGTACCTGTAGAATGAGTTCTTGTAGTTGAGACTGTTTTTGCTTTATTCTTTCAAGTCTTCTCTGTTTCTCCACCTTAAGACAGAAAAAGGGTTGGTTAGTCTGTTGATTTTAAGTAGCATTTTATATGAAGTTATGCCCTGAAGAATTACCCACATTCTCTCAAGGACAGAGCATGTAGACCAGAAGGATTCACTTGATGATACTGGAGAAGATCCATCAAAGATGCTTAAAGAAATGAAGCTGCTATGGAGACCAAGGTTAAGTCCTTGCAGTATTAAATACATACTAAATAATAACATCAAAGATAGGAGACAAAACGGTAGGAAATAAACAGCTTTCTCAGTGGAGGAAGCTCACCAGCAGATCCCCACAAGGACTTCATTTACAGACTATTATTCAAATGATAAAGGATTAGCATAAGCAGATGAATAGCAAGGTGACAGAATCTGCTGACAATTATAGAATCACAGAATGTTTGGGTTGGAAGGGACCTTAAAGATCGTTCCGTTCCAACTGCCCTGCCATGGGCAGGGACACCTTCCACTAGACCAGGTTGCTCAGTTACCTGGCATAGTAGAGTACATCACAAAGTACACTCAAAGTGTCTTGTAGCACTGACTGTAATCAAAACACCATAAAAATTGGTTTTGGTAAATGTAATGTCGTATGTATGAGAAAACATAAACCCCTCCATGCATATTTCAGACACCAAATGACATTCAGTAGAGGGCTTAAATTACAGTATCTACAAAAATCATCAGGTCAGTACACTATAACAGCCAAAAATTTGAACCATTAAGTCACGGAACAGAGAACAAAACAGAAATTATCACTGCATAGGTGTATGAACCAGAATGTGTACATCTTGAATTCTGTAGGTCTGGCATTGCTACTTCAAAAAGATGACACAAAAGAGCAATCAGAATAATGAATGGTACTGAACAGATTCCATACAAGGGAATAATGAACAAACCAGGACTCTCAGACAGGAGAATGACAAGTTACTAGATAGACAGACCACTGGCCTGAACATCAACTCTTTTTCTTAGATCCTTAAAATATGCAACTAACAAGGTAACAACTGGAGTTAAAATATACACTAATGAAGTTTTCTATCTGTTTTCAGTGAAAAAAACACACCAAAACCCAGAAATGCACACAGTTGAAAAAAAAAAATGTTAAAAGGC